ACACCTGGCAACCCTAAACCCTATAAGCCCTAAACCCTAAACCCTAAACCCGAAACCCTAAACCCTAAACCCGAAACCCTAAACCCCAAACCCTAAACCCTAAACCCGAAACCCTAAACCCTAAACCCTAAATCGGACTCCAGTCCCTCTAAGCAGGACATGATGGACGGCCCAGGCCCTTCTAAGGATCCAAGAACCACAAGCCTCCAAGAAAGGGTCTAGGGTCTAGGGTTTAGGGTTTAGGGTTGGGGGGTTTAGGGTTTAGGGGGTTTAGGGTTTGGGGTTTCGGGTTCAGGGTTTAGGGTTTAGGGTTTAGTGTTTAGGGTTTAGAGGGCAGCTAACCCAGGCTTGTCGGGATAAGAGAGAGAGAGAGAGAGAGAAAAAAAAACAAACAAAAAACGGTAGGCCATCTAGGCAAGGGCTGCTCGCAAGATATCTTAATGATTAATATGGATCCTGCCGACGAAACTTTTATTTATATTAAAATCTGACTTTGAAAATGCTGATAAAGCCATAATCAAAACCAGCCAAGCCCTACTGACAACAACCTAGTCTGCAGCGCCTGCCACCTTACAGCCACTCCCTGAATTGAAGGAATTTTGCAAATGTCACATTAACAACTCCAGTTTGGGGCTGTTCCTCCTTCGCGACGTATATAGATAAGGCCTGACATATCCTCTAAACCCAACCCTGAGTCTTTGAACCTACCTAAGTAGCCACTCTTCAAATCAAGCGACAGCCGGTAAATAAGCAAGCCCCATTGATTACTTGTTACTTGTAGGGTCATTCTTTCAGACTTGTATTGGCTTCTAGGGAAAACCCTATTCCCTACAAAACCCCCTAAACCCTTACAAGGCCTTGAAAGCAGGCTCAACCCTAAGCCCCCGACACCCTAAGCCCGTGGAAGGCCAAGTGTAGGCATGTTTGATCTAAGCGCTACAAGGGAGTTTCCGAAAATAAGGGGTACCTTATTTGGGGGTCCTTATAATAAGGATCCTACTATTTAGGGTACTATATTAGGGTCCCCTATTTTCGGAAACTGCCACAACGACACTGTGACTGCCACACAGCGGGCCTGACTCAACATGAGCCTTTTGACAGTCAATGATGCCCCAGGGATCGGCTGTTTTGCTTAGTGGTGCGTCTGGCTTAGGGTTTAGGGTTTATAGGGTTTAGGGTTTAGGGGTTTAGGGTTTAGGATTTAGGGTTGCGGGTTTAGGGTTGGCAGGAGACAAAACCCTCCGTCGGACAAAGCGGGACGACACTGGAAACTATGACTGACTCTAAGAATGCTCGCCTGTGGCTACAGAGTCAGCTGGTGCCCAAGCAAAAGAAGTGCGAAGGCAAGAAAATAAGCGATAAGTTCAAAAACGCGGAAAAACCGAAACGACCAGCCGAACCCGAAAAATCGAAAAATAGCACATACAATCTCACATGTGCAAGAAAAGTCGAAAAGCTTAACAGCACAAAAAGTCCGAAAAGTAGTGGAAAACGCGAAAAGTCGAAAAGTCAAAAAGCCGAAACGCTCAAAACGTCAGAAAAGGCAAGAACACCCGAAAAGTCGAAAAGCCCAAAATGTCAGAAAAGTGCCAGAAACCCCGAAAGGTCGAACAGTCTAAAAGCCCTGAAAGTCCTAAACGTACAAGAAAACCTGACAAGTCGAACCCTTTTTGAGTTTTCGACTTTTCGAATTGCGTTTCGGTTCTCCGCTCATGGAAACCAACGCCTGCTTGCGTACTCAGCGTGAATCCAAGTCTGAACTTTCAGGGTAAGGCTAAGTCACAAGACCCCAATTTCAATAAACGCTTCCTGGCTGTTGAAACGTACATAGACGGTACCTCGACAGTCGACATTCCCTGTCAAGATCGCTTCCTGGTGTTCCCCTGATCTTGCCCTTACCCTTAGGCTCTAAGCACTCATATTTTAGGGCTTTAAATTGGGCCCAAAGACCATACTATATTAGGCTTTTGGGCTATTTTGAGCCTATAGGGTTATACTCTAAACTCAAGAAACTCTGAGAAAGCTTTGCCGTAAAGGAAGCTTTGAAGAAGGGTTTAGGGTTTAGGGTTTACGGTTTTAGGGTTTAGGGCTTAGGGTTTAGGGGTTTTAGGGTTTAGGGCTTTAGGGGTTTAGGGTTTTAGGGCTTAGGGTTTGGGAAGCTCCTCAAGGCACCCTGGAAGCCCTTATAATCGGACGTATACCAAAAAATCCAAGCCCCCCGCTCCGCTCGTCTAAGGCAAAGCGAAAAAGTTTTGGTTTTTAGCTAAGGAACCATCACGGGGCTTAAAATCAAGAGGTTTTAGGAACCCTACGGAACCCCCTCATGGGACCCGCCATAAAGCAAACACACCCGGTTCAGAGCTCGCACCTCAGCAAGAAACCATTGCCTGGCTTTGCTACCTGGGATGGAGAGCTAAACAAGACATGCGCAGTAAGTTTAGGTTTTGGGGTTTCGGGTTCCCGGTGACAGGTTTGGGGATTTGGCACAAAGTTCAAGATTTAGGAGATATAGAGCAGTCCCCAAAGCCTCGTGTTCAAGCTGAGGCTTCCTGAATGGGCTGCGCACAAAGCAGTGAGCGCGTTGAAAGCCTGCCTTCGGCACACCTCTCCCTCTCTCGCTCTAACCCTAAACCCTAAACCCTAAGCCCTAAATCCTAAGCACTAAACACTAAACCCTAAACCTTAAATCCTAAACCCTAAACCCTAAATCCTATATAGACCCTAAGCCCTAAACCCTAAATCCTACACCCTAAACCCTAAATCCTAAACCCTAAACCCTCTCACGTTATATTCCAAATCGAGACACTCTGGACCTCTCTCTCTCTGCATATCGAGCGGATCTCATGCCCAACCGATGCGCCACTGCAGAGGTGCCCTGAATTGCCTGCTCTGGCCATGCCTTCGGCATGCCCTTCGGATTCTGAGACGTGGCCTTATGTACAAACGATGCGCTATGGCATGGACTTCATTTTAACAATAATAAGACCCTTACATGTAGTACTTTGTTTTGGTTGCCTGATTTTCTTCCTATTCGGCCCCATCATGAAATGCACAATCCAAACCGCGATTGCCCCACCTGTGTCCATCCGCTAGCTGTGAAACATGGCCATCCATCGCGAACTCTATGCATGGCGCTGCTAAGCTCGCTGCCGCCAAAGCTGCTATCCCGGTATCTCCGATCATGAAACACCCGCCGAGAGCGAACTTGGTCAACTTCTTGCATTCCAGAACTGCTCCACCCAGAGCCTCGGCCCCGGCATCTCCGATGGTGTCACCTAGTTCATGGTTGGGGTAGCCTTAAAAATCTAAACTTCTATTCCTTATTGGGTTTAAGTACCCTTAAAATGTAAAATGTTACCCAACTATGACAAAGTCACTTCTTATGGCAAGGACCGACAACTTCTTGCAGCTGATAGCTGCAGTGGCAAGAGCTGCAGCACCGGCATTCCCAATCCCATCCCCTGCAACTTGCAAGTGCCATAGCTTCTGAGGACGAAGACGTTCAAGGCTACATGCCAATTCCAGAATGCTATGCCCGAAGGTGAAGCCCTCGCCATATGATAATATGTTGAGCCTTTCCAGGTTCACGAAATGCGGCAATGCGGTCGCCAATATCGAGACCTCGTGCTGGGGCAAGGCATGTGCTGTAAGTACTTCGCGTTGCCGCGCATGCTGTAGGAAGACATCCTCCTGCAGTTGACTCACCAACTTTGCATCAGAGCGGTGTGTAAATTTCAAGTGCAACCCATCCGCAAGGCCCTGCTCACCACGCGCCACCCGCTCCTGAAAAACTGCTGGAGGCATGGGAGAGCAGCCATACACCGTGTCTTGCGTGCTCATCCACTGAACTTCAGCCACACACCACCCCCGTTGGGAGTACGGCGTGCTGTTCAGGACCAACTCACTCCGAGGTCTTGCTTCAAACTTGCCAGTCGCCTCGCAGTACATGTCTATAGAACCCTCGAGTGACTTCTCACTCTCTGGAGTCAGCTCTTCCAGGCGAATCACGCGATGAATGTACCGATGGGCATACAGCAAATGCATGGAGCTCATGGCCTTGCGGAAGAATTGCTGTTCCTCCTCACTTCGCTCGTACTGATGCAGGCACACGAAGTCAATGAATACCCAGTGGTGACTATGGAGCTGTTTTGCAATTGCTTTGAGATGCGCGCAAGACGCAATGCGGGCTTGAATAAACTGCAAGAGACTTCGCAACTGAAAACCCCATGGGTCGGGATGTTGCTGAGACTCCCAGGTATGTGACACAGATAAGATCACCCTATCCCAATCGTCATCATCTTCATCTGCATAAAGATTCAAGCTGGGATCCCGCAGTTCCTCCATCGTCACCAATGCCTTAGGGGCTGAGTACCTTAGCCCAAAAAAGGTTAACCTTTTGAGTTATAGTAGGATTATATAAGCCACCAAAGGTTAAAGGTTACCTACGCAGCCCCCAAGATGCCGTGCGCATGTTGCCATCGTCATCCTCGAAGACTTCGCTCTCCGCCTCCTGGCGCCGTGGCCAGACACGACCGGCCTCCGCCAGCTTGAAAAGGTATTCTAGCCGCACCGGTCGGATGTTGGCCTCCACCAAGAAGTTCTTGAGATGTTTCTGATCTGTCAAGCTGTACCTGCAGCCGAAAAAACCCTATCTTTTTAGGGTTCCTTATTAAGGCTTCTATATACACCTCCTCCACAAGGTCGGTTTTTTGGGCCACAGGTACTCCTTGGCTTCCTCATGCACCGCAGCTGTCTGGCCCTGTGCTTCGATGGATGTCTTCACAAAACCCTGGTCATGCGAGGCCGTAGGGTTCTGAACGTAGGATCTTGCGATCGGCCGTTTCCTTATTTCCCCAAGAAGCCAGGGAAACAAAAGGTTAAACTTTCAGATTACTACTAAATTTTAAGAACCTACAAAGGTTATAGACTTTCAGATTACTATTAAATTTCCAGAACCCAAAAGTTCAAAGTTGGGTAGCCCAAAGGGTCCAAGTACCATTGTAGTAGGTACTTAGTAGGTATTTGGGCCCCAAAAGTATATACTATACTTGTACTTGGACCCTTTGGGCAATAGGGAACTAAGTTTCTTTATCCAGCTCCGCGGTTCTGCAGTGAAGCTCCGCATCCCATCGCACGGCAGGCTTGTCACTGCGATACCCAAAGGGTCCTATAAAGGGTTTAGGGTTTAGGGTTTATAAGTACTGTTGTGGGGGATACTTTCCCAAATCATAATTCTAACTCTTAATATAGAAACCCTACATTCTACTGTATAGGTGCTTTGGACCCTTTGGGCTAGCAGCTTGAGCTGGGTATGCAGTCTGCAGAAGCGAACATGCACGGCACTTGTGGTTCTGCTGCCGCGGTTTGTGTGATTTGGAACGCTGTTCTGAATGCCAGCCGGGCTAGATACACCAAACTCCAGCTACCAACATGTACACTACCTATAGTCTCCATTGTAGTTCCTTTTTGGGGTTCCCTTTTGGGATCCCTAATCTAGAATTGGTAAAACCAAAAAAAGGAACTACAATGGAGACTGTAGGTATCCCCCCATAACAGATCCTAAACCCTAAACCCTAAACCCTTTGGGCAATGGAGACTGTAGGTAAGCTTCTTTATGTACACTAGAGTCCAGGATGTCTGGACCTCATCAAAGAGAGATCACTTGAAGTTACTCGAAGGCCTAGTTGGAAGTTGGATACCCTAGACCCTAAGCCCCAAAACCTACACCTAGGCTAAACCCTATAATTACGCTAAACCCTCTACACTGTGAGGCCAATAGCATTTTCGCGAGATTGGGCAACCGTGCACGATGCAGTCTCGAGCTTCCACGCTACGCGAGCTAGGAAGGAGTTGGATCGCTTTGGAGAGGAATACTGCGCATGATTTGATGGACATATATAAATAGCTTGAAAAAACCCTAAACCCTAAACTTTATTAGGGAGTCTGCTAGAACGCTTTATTAACGGACCCCTGAACCCTACCCTAAGGCTCTTATTGCTGCTGTGGGCTTTCTCGGGGAAGGTTTGGGCTTTGGGGACTAAGGTTTGGGCTTTCACTATGGGGGTCCATGAGCCTTAGGGTACCCTAAACCCTAAACTCTAAACTATACACAGAACCTCACTGCTTGCTGTAATCAGTCCCTTGGCCTCTTTCAGGGACCCCAAGTCTACAACCCTTGAAGGCACTCTTGGGTAGTTCTTTAAATTAGGGTCTCTTTCTGGATCCGCCAAAAAGTTACGGCACCCTTATAAAAAGGACCCCAGAAGGGACCCTATTTTAGAGAACTGCCCTCTTACAGGAACCCTTGCAAGTACCCCAAACCCCTATAACAGGCCACCAAGGATCGAAGTACATAGTAACCATGCAGCTCCCACATACAAATCTATACCAACTACCATCCTAAACCCAAGTACCTGTACCGATTTAGGTCCTTTGACCCTCCAGAACCCTAAACCCTAAACCCTTCAAGATCCTATACATCCTTTATAGGATCCCCCTTATCGGAAACCCCCTCAACAAACCCTAAACCCTAAACCCTAAAACCCAAAAACCTACTTTTTTGTAGGGTCCCTATAAATGCCACATTGGGGTTTATAATAAGAACCTACAAAAAAGTGGGTTTTGGGTTCTTAAGGTAAATCCTAAACCCTATTCGGCCCTTTGGGCTCTCTTTTGCCAGGACGCAAGAGCTCAGCACGGACCCAAGAGTTCGAATGCTGGGCTGGAGCTTTCTGGCCTGCAGCGGTTGGGTTTGCGCTTGGGATTTTTCTCTAAAGGGCTGTAGCTTAGTTGCTGAGTTCATAAGCCCCAAAAAGTGTACACTTTCAGATCTATAAGGGATCATATTATCCCCAAAAGTGTAAAGTGTACTCACTCAGCTACTAAGGTAGGGCCCTAAGTATAGAGGGTACAGGGGGGTCTACGGTTTCGGCTCTGTTAATAGGCTTTAGAGTAGTTCACCCAAGGGCTGTAGGGCCTGAGTTCAGTAAGGGGTGTGGGGGGGGGGAGGGGTTTCGGGTTTCGGCTCCCTTGGTTGCAGGAGTTAGAATAAGGATTATAGGGGCACCTTTGGGAATATAGACCCTCTCAAACCCTAAACCCTAAACCCTAAACCCTAAACCCTAAACCCTAAACCCTCTCAATAAGGTCCCCTCTTAAGACAGCCATAAGTAGGGTCAAGAAGGGTCCCCCTTTGTTTGGGCACGTAGAGCAGTGAGGGCCCTGAGGCAATTCCGCTTAGCTCAAAGAGTCGAACTTCTCATGTGTGAAGGGTTTAGGATCTAGGGTTTAGGGTTTAGGGTTTAGGGTTTACGGTTTAGGATCTAGG